TGAAATCACATTACAGTCTTTACATGCTCAGATCCAATGTATGGCAGCGAGTTATGAGTTATGAAGCCTGACTTTGAGTCTAGAATCTAGATGGACTGACTCACGTGCACCAATTTGTTCATTTTTATCAATGAACAAATTTCAGTTAATATTTTTTTTCTGTGAGAGGTTTCTTTTTGAAAATACATGGGAGCCCCATTACAAAGCGGAATTTGGTGAGGAAGGGGCAGCCATAAAATCCCAACCAGCGTTATAATGGGGGCTTGATTGCCAGTCCATGTGCAGGAAGACAAAATGATACTGACAGCGACCTGATGACCCAGAGGTCAATCGTTTTTTTTAACCAGCCGGAAAGCTAGCCCTGGAGTCCATCTTACAAGCGTTCCCACTAAAACAGGCTCCTACTGAACAATGTGTTTCTTTTTATTTTAAAAGATATCAATTCTCTCCCCTTGTTTCTCTCCTCTCCATTTAAGGATCTTCCTCTTTCACGCCACATTCCTCAGGTGAAAGGTGGGGCAGATGAAATGTCCCCAGGCCTGGCTCAGTTTTGCTGTGTAACCAGTTGCTAAGGCATTGAGTGACAGTACCTGCAGGTGTCTTGCTCCTCACCAACTATTCCTCTCACAGAGAGGTGCAGTGTGTTTCATGACGAATATCCTCAGCTGTATCGACGACATCAGAGCTAGTGACATAGAAACTGCTCTTTGTGTGACTTTGTGTGTCAAATTTTGGTATTCATCATAAAAACGATATTTAGCTTTTGGCTGCCAAGTCTGTGAAAAACAGCTGTTCCACTTTGAAATAATCATAGTCCTTGCATTTGATGAGTTCGCAGTTGCCTTATGAATGTTCAGTGGTATGATTTTCAGATTTGCTTCCCTTCTCTTTTGTTGGTGTATCATCAGTACACTGTGCCGCTCACCACTGAGATGTGAGTTTTACAATACATACCGCTTGACAATATATTCTGTGAAGCGCATTGAGATGTCCCAACGAAATGATAAAGTGCTGTAGCAAATGCAAGGATTATTATTATTATTCACATGTGAGATTCAATACATGATTAATTCCTGATATCAGCTTGACTGCTTCGTAACCCTCTCCCCCTCCTTATCTCCCCTCTCCCCCCGTTGCTTAAGCTCCCACTTTGTCATTGTGAAGCACTTTGAGACTTATCCAATGCTAAAGGTGCTATAAAGTGCAAGTTGTTGTTGCAGTCATCTCAACTACCTGGGATGTTTGGAGGGCGCAGAGAAAGAGAGGGAAGTTATAATTGTGTTGCTTACAGATCAGAAGTTTGCGCATTCGATCTGTACGGATACAACTGATCTTGACTGGGACAGCAATTGGGTGAGCGATGTCTTTTAGTGGTGTAAAGCCAACAGATGCTCACTTGCTAGGCTCATGCATGAATCATGGTAACTTTGATGAGGTCCTGGACAGCTGCCAACATCCATGGAAAGGCAACAATCGGAGCTTTCAAGGGAGAGGGGGAGAAAAAGGGAGAAAATTGGCAAGAGGAATCTTTGTGTTGTTTTCATGCAACCTTTCACAGTCAGGTACAGGCATTGGCAGGGGCTTGAGAATAGTTAGCAGATGTGGTGATTTTTCCTGTTTTTTTTTAATCGTCTTAAAGACGCTTTTCATTTCCACTTACGGAAGCAAATCTGAGCTTTTCACGTACCCCATAGCTCCTTAACTCTTACGCTGAAAGACGGAGAAGGGAGGCACTTGGATGTAATAAAATGAACAGCAAAAAAGGAATCTGTATTACGTTAGGTAGCCTGATATGATGGTAAGATGCTTTAAGATGTGCCTGGGTGTGTTCAGGTATTTAGGTATTGCAATATGTCATGGAAAGTTGGATCGGAGACAACTCATTTTGTCATGAATGTGTAGGAGGCATATATTGATTTTAGTAGTTGCAATATGCTCTGGTTCCACTGGATATCTATCACTTAGTGAAATAGTTACATCCGGCAGATTGATGATTTAAATTACTACGAGTCCGGCCTGCATGAGCCATACTGTATTTTGTTTGGAAAAAAAAGGGGGTCTGTGCCAATAGGAATAAATGTGTTTTTCTGTGTATAAAAGTTTCCATTTCTCAATTCGTAATAACGCTTGTTCGGTTTTACAACATACGACAAAGGCAGTGTGTGACTTCATAGGATTCAAGTGTTATCTGAATCCTGCTCCATAACTGAATGCACAGTGACGCGATTGGGCATCAAAGCACTGATCCGCACGGCACTTCATCACTTTGAACGACATGTTTTTTCCATTGTGGAAGCGAAACGTGCCGTTAGATTTATGACCCATTGGAGCCACATTAGAGTCATAGCAAGACGTGGCTACAGATGTAATGAACGGCCTAAATAAACAAACTTTATCTTCTGAAACCAAAGTTCTGTTAAAATAAAACAGCAGATTTCTTATATTGGTCAAAACAGACTTTTAGTTCAGAACTGTTAAACATCAATGTGCCCAACTATTCTCAGCTTACTTCATTCAGCCTTCTTATCCCAAATGCTTAATGTGTCTGAAATTAAATGCAGGTTTTTCTTGAAAGGCATTATTCGAAACAATGCAGCCCATTCTTTGATGTATTAACTCTTTGTGCATTGAATTATCCTTGAAAGTTCAAGTGGGAGGGACCTTGAGATGGGAAGAGATGGTGGCAGTGTACTATTTGGCTTACATTTTATTAATCATACAATCACGAGATCGGTTTGGATGAAGAAAGCCCTTCGGCTCATCTGATCTCGTCCTTCCAGACTACTCTTCCTACCATCTTCTCATCACAGCATCAAGCTATTATTTAAATGAGTCCAGCGTCCTGGCCTCAATCACCCTTCCTGGTAACCTGCTGCACTGATCAATTACCCTTAAGGTCTGGAGTGGAGCTGTCCTATGCTATCCCTGAATTTGTGCCCTCTTATTTTGCTGTCCCGACCTATCGAATGATCATTCCTTTTCACTTTACTATGAACCTGGACCCGATCCACCCACATGAATCTAGCCTGTAGGTGAAATACTGACAAAGTGCAACATTGTCACATCAGCTTTTCTATTTGGTTTTCTGTTTTTAACAATACTAAGGAAGGACCAGTTGCATCATGGAAAATTTCTACAAGGAGGAGAGTTGGACTAATTAATAGGCCTCTTATATAAAATAATAATAATCCTTGCATTTTGATATAGAGCCTTATCAAGCCGTCGAGACATCTCAAAGCACTTCACAGGATGCACGGTAAAGTGGATTGAGTGTATATTGTGGGCGAAACACAGCAGACAGTTTGCGCACAGCAATGTCCCACAAACAGCCATGGAGTGAGTGACCAGTTTATTTTGGAGATTGTTCACCGGGACTCCGGGAGGGATCTTTAATGACCACCTGAACAGGTAGATGGGACCTCAGTTTAACGTCTCATCCGAAGGACAGCACCTCCAACAATGCAGCATATCCACAGCATTGCATTGGAGTGTCAGCTTAGACTATGTGATTCCAAGTCCCAACTTGGGGCTTGAACCCACAACCTTCTGAGTCAGATGTGAATGTGCTACCACTGAGCCAGACCGACACATTCACTTCCCTTCACAGGTGTTTGTTAGACCTTGCTACTTGCAAACTCCTGCATTTGTTACAGGTACACAGACTCCACACTTGACAATAATTTTCTATGAAGTACTTTCCACATTATAGGTGTTTGTGTTTGTACCAAGTGCAAGGAAACCCAAAGATACAATATTGGCTATTATTATTTTTTATACTGACTATTTTAAGATTAAAGCCAGCAACTGCCTATATCTTTCCCAAATCCTGTAAACCCCAACATAAAATAAATAGAAAATGTGTAGGTTTTTATATATTCATAAGGTGGATTCATTGGGTTAATTTGCAACTTCCGTTGTGTGAATACTGGCACCCGTATGAATTGCCTCTTTCACTCAATTTCCCAGGATTGATTTCCCATACTGAGCTCAAATAGAAGTAGTTTGTCAGTAAATTTCCCAATGATGGCTGTGAGATATTCCCATTGTAAACTACACAGGCAAAATCAGCAAATTTATAGGCCAGCTCATCTCTCTGGTGTCAGTATAAACATAGCATGTTTTTGTGATTACGTTACCCTTGGATGTCGTTTACTGAGGTAACTCATGAGATTTCAAAAAGATAATTTGGTAGATAGCGGAAGCAATTTCTGATTCTTTAATTACTGCTCAGGCCCACCCTCTTACACAATCCGATCAATTTACTCAGGTGAATCAAAGTGTGCACCCCAGCTTAGGTGTGTCGGTTCCTTAGTAACAATATTGATCATAGTCTACATGTGCCACACCCTTAAGCTCTCGGGTGAGTCAGCTGTGATTATCCAACCATGTTGCTCAAATTCCATTCAAACAAAAGATATGGTATAAATTCTGTTGGAATATATCCAACTGAATTTGTCATTCTGACAGTTCTTCACCCCCTTTGGGCCAGCAGATTAACTACAGTATTTGTTAAGCATCGGTGATTCAGTGGTAAAATTGTCGCCAGCCACATTGGAGGTCCAGGGTTTGATTCCTGGCTGATGCAGACGTGTGCAGAGTATAAACACCAGCATGGACTAGTTGGGCCAAATGGCCTGCTTCAATCAGGTGTAATCTCCTATGTGAATCTCTATATATCAGTGGAATTTAACATGAGTGAGATGTGAGTGTGTCTTTCTCTGATGCTTTGGTGAGTAAACCTTAGCACTTTCAGCACAGAGAAAGGCCATTTGTGCTTTGTAGTTCTATCATAATATATAATAATCCTTGCATTTGATATAGCCCTTTTCACGTCTTCCAGACATCTCAAAGCGCTTCACAGAATATACTGTAAAGTGAATTGACTATATATGTGGACGAAACACATCAATGTAATGAAAATCATCAATGTAATGGATGAAAAGAAATGTACTATGCCTGAGGCAATGATTAAAAGGACAACAATATAAACACTTTATAAATTTCTGTTCAAATAATTTTATTTACAAATGTTACCAAAACAATTTAGTTTTATCCATAGATATAAATAGATCAGAAAGAATTAAATACCATAATTTGAAAACAATCCCAGATGAGAAATACAAGTAACTCAGCTCCTTGCCAGGCAAAATCAGATTATGAATCACATCTGCACAACCCTCTGCAAAGAAGGTTTATTTGGTTCAGGTTTAAACTCCTTGTAAAATGATGGAACTCCCTGTCGTACAGGATTATAAGTCACACAGCGTGCAACACACTTGCTGCTTTTACAGTTGCCTAGTATTTGAGTAGCGCCCCATGTTTAAAAAAACATAGATAGATCTGATCTGGAGATGTCATGTTCATTATCAATAAACATATTACAAGCTGTAGAGACCCAGCTCTGAAGTACATCATCTCACTTTATAGCATAATAATTTACTGGCATTTCTGCTTTTCTGCTGTTTTGAGGGTCAAGACCCTCCTGTGTAACTCCGACCTATCTCCTTCTGCTGGTTGCCGATGCCATGCACCTCCTGCTTCTGAGAGGCCAGGCAATGGGTTCCAGTGGCCAGCAGCACAGTGGTGGTGTCCCCTTTGCTCCTTGTCTCCTTCTCTACAGGGGACACCTCTAGCTTGGTGTGCTTCCCACAGCATTACATTGAGAGTTGAAACAGACCATGGCACTGGGGAGGCACACCCACACTGCATTGCCTTTCTACTTTCCCTTTTAAGATTTTCCTTGATGCTCTCTGCTGTAATTTCACCATTCCTTGTCCTTGCCCTCTCCTACTTTTTTCAAGCAAGTATGTGCCTTTCATATGCCTTTGCAGAGTGTCCGTTCAAGCAGAAAATGGCCATGTCTCTTTCAGAGGCAGCCTTCCTGATGTCTTCCCTGTTCAGGAAGGGCAAGATTCATGTCTGGTGGTTGTCAAGGCTGCTATTGAGTAGATTTTTGTATATATCTGACTGCAGGAATCTGGTGTAGCAGTTGTTCTCCATCAGACCATAGACCTTGTTCTGAGCAACGTCAAAGCAAGAATAGGTTGGCTGTTGAATGTTTGAAGCGATCAGCTCTTTGGTGTAGTAATCCAAATTAATCTGCAAACAAAACAAAGGTATTTAGTAATGAATATTGGACAGCAACAACTAACATTAAATTATTCAAAGTTCAACAATGATCCAGCGAGAGCTCTGTATTTTACATGAAGTTCAGTAAATCGTTTACTTTAGTTTTTTTTGTCACGGATATCTCTAGGGAAGGAATCAATTTGAACATAGTCAGCCCAATTTTGAGTGAGTAATGATGCCAATGGGTTTTTAGTTTTTCTTTCCTCTGCAGTTTCTAGAATAACTTGACATGAAATTGGCTGTCTGAACCAATATATTTCCATTAGAATACACATTGGAAGGGAAATTGAAGTGAAGCTTCTACAGAGAAAGCTTTAAAACGGGACACCATTCAAGTGTCAGTTATTTTGGCGAGCTGTTCATATAAGTTCTGCTTACAGAGTAATAATAATAATAATAATAATCCTTGCATTTGATATCATGTTGTTGAAACGTCTCAAAGCACTTCACAGGATTCATGGTAAATTTGATCGATTGTATTTTGTGGGCAAATTGTGGAGCCAATTACGCACAACAATATTCCACAAACAACCATCCAGTGAGTGATCAATTTTATTTGGGGATTGTTGGCTAGGACACCAGGAGAAACCCCCTTCTCTTTTCGAATTGTACCACCTGAACAGGCAGATGGGACCTTGGTTTTACATCTTAAGTGTCTTTAAAGTCACAACAGGTTCTCAAGTACACTATTTATAGTAGGGTTACTTAAGAATAATATAAGTTCATGCAGCATATTTTCAAATAGGTTTAAGATCTGCTGTACAATTGCAGAATAATGAATTACCTCTTTAGGGGATGTTGGCTCGATAAATTCTGCGTAGATCTTCTTTGCTTTGGAGGCCAGTTTCATGGATGACTTGATTTTCTTGTAGTCTTCACAAGCCAGCCAGAACTCAATATTCTCCTCATTGTACTCTGATTTCAAAAAAGCTCTGAAAGCAATCAGCCCATCTGGAAAGAATTAAAGAAAAATTAATATTAGTTGTTAACAGCCCTTTCCTTCTTCATTACTTTTTATTACATTGTCAGAATCTCCACTAGCATTTTAGGCTTCTATCCTACATCAGTTAACTTTATCTCTCCAATCCTTTGAATATTGGAGCGTAGTCTAATGTACCTGCTCTATTTCTTACACCAGATCATTTTGGCTTGCGCTTGTCACATCAATTAATGTGTTAAGTCGATTTCAAGTTATTCAGACACATTATAATTTATGAATGCATTGGGCAGAATATCCAACATCTTGTTAATAGAGATGTGAGGAAGGTTTGTTCAGTGACCAGTTACTGAACAAATCTTGTTCACTCATCTAAAAGGGCTTATGGATTTGTCTCATATACTGTATGTGCATTACACTAATTGCAGCTCTGCACAAATTTCCGAATTCCTTAATCTTGAATATTTTGCCTTCAGCCAAATAAATACAATTGAATGCATTTCTTGTAAAAAGCCTTCAGCTAAATTTAAAACCAGTGTTTTAGAGACCATTTTTAAATGAAATGTTTAAGAGACTTTTGGATTTTGAAATCAGACTGTATCAGCATGAACAATGTTTTAGATCTAAGCAATGCGACATGCGATCCTTCAGAAAAGCAATTAGATAATTTTCAGTGGAACCCCCTCCCCCTCGGACATCTCAGAATATTTTAACAGGAATTTGTAGCTGTTCTTGGCGCCTTGGGTAGAAAAGAGGCCATGCATTTCCAAGACGTACAAACTGCTTACATTTATGAGCCAGTAGATTGTCCAGAGACTCAGCCCACGTCATCACTTCTTCATGAGTTGGTCTGCAGGAGGGAGAAAAAAAAATGAGTATGCATATTTCAAACTTTTGAAAGTAGGAAAAGGGTATAAGATCTGCTTATTGCTGCGCATTGTCAATCTTAGCAGCAAGGAAGAACCTCTTGCCAATTATCCCAATAGTAATTCCAACAACTTACTTTAAAGCCACTTTCACCCCATCTGCTTTGGCCGACAAGAGTGAAGAAGAGTCTCCAAATGATGCTGGATGATGTAAAAAGTAACTGCATCGACTCTTCAAATCTTTGATACTATAAAAGAAAAAAAAATCACATCAGCAATGCATTAAAAAGCTACTTACTCCGCTTGATTAGAATTGTATTAGCGCATTAATTATTATTTGCTTGCCAGTTTGCCTGCAAAATACACAGTCACTGCACATCACATGACAATATATGATGTGAAAAACTTTGAGACATCGTCCTGTCGTGCAAAGGGCTCTATTCAATAAAAGGTTTATAATTATTATTAATAATAATATCCCAGTTCATGAGCACTGTTATGATTCCCTTAATAAATATAAGTGCTCAAGCAAAAATATTTGCTGATTTGCCAAATTCGATGGACACACTGTATACATGTTGGAAAGAAAATCTGTAGGCTAACCAGCATCATCATGCAGTGAACAGCTATCTATTAGTTTACAGCAGCCTTTTTTTTAAAACTATATTTAATTTAAGGAGACCTTTAAAGATGATCATGTTTTGCTTACAATTTGTGTTTCTTAATATCTGTCGGCTTTTCATCCTGTTTCTGGTAGTTGCAGTATTCTTTCTCCTCCATGGGGGAATGTTTCTGATGCAGAAGTAGAATCAGAACACTTTGCATGTTTTTCTTCACCAAACTCTGCTGCTAGGCTGTGTGTGTGATGTACTCCAGGAACACTCTGCCAAGAACTGAAAGCATCTGCAGTGTCTCTCTCCTCTCGGTATATATACTTTGTTGAAGGAGGCGGGTGTTACATGTACCTGTTGTGAAAGCTGATTTGCTATTTCATAACGAGTTTGAACCAGTTTCAAGACACTGGGCAAGGAAGCCTTATTTTAGTACAGTGTTGACGTATGTACCTAAGCCATATTGCCTTGGGCATAACAAGGCAGGATTGCTTAACAACGGCAAATAAGGGCATAAACAATATCTTTAGCTCACTGGCGAAAAGAAAGTATTGTTTCAATCAACAACACAGGAAATGTGATTAACAAGCATGCAAAAATCTTTAAAGCGATACAAATTCCTTCGTATCTCTGACCCATCCAGTGCCAAGCCCCTTTGGAATCTGAACATGAATAGATTTCGTGCCTTTAGATGTGCTTGACCTCAATCTTTGAATCATAGTATGCACCATGCACCTAATGCAGTGCAGCCAGAAAACTCAAGAGACGCTACTCACCGCAAGAGACTTTTTCAACAAGAATCAACATGTGTTTCCCATTGTGTCGAACAAAAGTTGTTCCCACATGAGCCTAGATTTTCACGTAGCGAACACCAAATGCACAAAGTTAAATCACAGTGGATTTTGTAAATGGTGCAGAGTTTGAATGTATTTACCAGCAAATGTGTCATGTGATATTCAGCAGTTCTTTAACTATGGGGGGGGGGTGGGGGTGGTGGCAGTGTGGCTTTGATACCCGCTTGCATTATGTACTCAAAAGTTAATCTTGAGTTTAAAGGTTATTGCCAAAGTAGTTAAGAGGCAATTAAACTAACAAGAGTGGGAGATTTTGAAATGCTACTGATTACTATTTTCCATTTCTTTTTTGGAAAGTTAGTCATGAGAGCCGTTCTAATGCAGGGGTGTAGTACACTCACCATGTAGGTGGCAGAAGCCGGATGGAATAACAGCTAGTGTGACTTCATCTTGTATTTAATTCAGTGGCTTCATTGACCCTATTTTGTACACATTTGTGAAAGTGGAAAATTGTGCATTAATGACAAGGTAGTTAGGTTGTGATAAGCAATCCCGGATTATTTAAGAAATAAACGTATAACTGAACACATAGTCTAGCCGTAAATTGACTGCAAGGAAGTTAAATAAGAAGCAACTTGGAAAAATTGAAAGCTTCAATAATAATAACAATTCTTGCATTTGATATAGCACCTTATCATGTCTTTGAGACGTCTCAAAGCGCCTCAATAAATGTGTCCTGTTGAAGATCCAAACAGGGACAGTAGGTAAGGTAATGACACCAAGGTCCATTTCCAGGAGTGTAAGAGCCAAGTTCCTGCGAGTGACGAACATCTGGATAGCAACAAGATTTACTTCTTGAACATGGTGGAATCTGGGTATGGCTTGTGTTTTTTTTAAAAATGAGTCTAATTTCCTAGTCTCAAGATGACCTCACTCAGCCTAGGAGAACTGCTTTGTGATACAAAAGAGATAGACTGATCTGTGTTTTAAGTCCTGTGAATGGTGATACTGTATTTTCTTTTCTTATTTCTCTTTTTCTTAGCTGTAAAAAGAAGTGGTTAGGTTGAAATTGGTCTTGGATCACAAGCTGAGGTGGGTGGGTTGAATGATCTTTTCTCATCACAGTATTACATTTTACTCCCTGAGAGATTTCTAACAAAATATGTTTGAGTGTTCTAAACACAGTTTTGCACTCAGGCATGAATTGACAATGTTACTAAGATTTTGGTAGAACAGAACTTGGTTTAACCTGACCTGTCATATGTCAATGGTGGAAGTTGCTTTGCACTGAAGCTTGGTGCGAAATGTGGGATGATTCAGTTCCCATATTTGGTCATCTTCCCTTTCAATGAGCACAAAAAAACTTCAACCAAATAGAGAGAGAGGACACAGACCGTGAAATAGTTAGAGGTTGTGCTGTTAATGATGTCAGACATATGAAAATACAGAAAATCTTTGCACGGGTTGTTAGCCCACACCAGCCGTGCATCCGAACAGGATACTGGCTGGCGTGAGCTAACAACCCGTGCAAAGATTTTCTGTATTTTTATGCTTTTGATGCTGTAAGCATTTCAAATGAAAAATGCTGACTTTCCAGCGATGTGTTTGTAGGAAAAGTAGAGTCATCGTTACTGTGAAAAAGCAGCAGAACTGTTGGGACAGCAACATGGAAATACAGTCAAACCCTAGTGCAATATGACTGGCTGGTCAGTCAGTTGTCTGCTCTCACAAGCATCTTCAATGGTCGCCGGGAAGATCGCTAACAACAGGAGGCCCTCTGAGGCTATACACTACACACAGGTCACTGGCAAGTCAGAAGCCTGACATGTACCATATTTGCAGTATACCCCGAGTCTGCAATGCTCCCCCTCCCCCCGTGTCCTAATCCCTGACTGTTCAGTGCCTTGGGACACCCTCCCGACGTGACAGGCACTTTACAGATGTAATTTTGTATTGTATTATATACATACCTGCGATTACTGAAACGAGGTGTATGGGCCCGATTACAGAAACATTCTGCAGACAAGGAGAACATTCAGCCCATCCTATGCTAATTATTTTTCTAAAACACCCTTTTTCTATTAATCCCATTTTTCAGCTCTTTCCCCATATCCCTTAATGTTTTTAACTGCTTAGGAGCTTAACTATCTCACTCACGAATAACTAACGATCTGGCCTCAACAGCTTCTTGTGATAATGAAATGAAAACCCTAACAACCTTCTGAGTGAAGAAACTTCTTTTGGTTTCTCCAGCATTTGACTCCACTTTATCATTTGCACACATGTTGAATGACTAATGAGTCACAATCCACTCATAGGTGTTAGAACCTTAATAAAGTGAGGAATGAATTGCAGCTATGACGGTAACATGATGCTCTGTCTAAGAGAGAGACGCCACTATACTTTGAACAGAAACAGGAAGTGAGTAATTCTCAGGAAGCATCATGTGAATTACCAGATTCTGGACGTCATATTATGCATTTAAAGACGATCAGATATCAGCTTTGTTTAACACACTGATTTTCAAACAAAAGATGAGAACATCCTGCTGTGCTAATCCATAATTTCAAGACGTTTTTAGTTGCATATTCGTTTAAATCACTTTGTCCATTTTTTCCCATCTATCCGCCCTCTGATCCTCTCCAGCATTTGACTCCACTTTCCCTCTATTGGAACAAGATTCCACCTGTGATAATTACCCTTCAGTGCTTTCCTCAAATAGCTATTGCTGTGTGAGCCTCGACAATGATAACAGTCTAAGTCTGACGGATTTTAACCCCGAAGACAAACACATTTGCTTCACCACTTCATATCGTCACATGAAAGATGGCTCTTGCATGGACAGAAACTGATATGCTATGTCCTAGGCTGAACAAAGTATAATTCAACTATACAGCTTTTCTAATCGATTTTCCATAAAATACAAAATCTTTCCATTCTCACGTCCATGAAACAATTATCTCACATAAAAATATTAACAAAATATAATCTGCAGAATTGTTATTACACCTGCCGAGTTATTATGGTTATAGAAGAACATGAATTGTTATAAAACTTGAATTGTTATAGAAAACATCTTTAACACAACCTCTTTAACTTCCTCGGCTACTATAAACAAGTCATCTCGGCATTTTTATAGCCCAATAAGCATTTCTAACCATTAATTAAAATAATTATTTTGACTACATGGGTTAATATATGTTCACAATTTCAGTTATGAAGCGGGATCACAACAGGAGGCAAGGAGGAGAGATTGAGTCCCAGATATTTGGGGTGAATATCCCATATTTTTCAACATTGCTGTAAAAGTCATATCCTGGGATCAAATCTAATTAAACAGGCTGGGATTGAACCTGGGACTTTCCACGTGGCTCAACTACTTACTGGGGAAATTCACTGAGGCATTGGGAAATTTATACATATGTATTTGTTAAATTAAATAAATTATTCTCAAGTATGTGTAATTTTGTGGCTCTCCTTTAGCTATGTAGGTAACCACAAGAAGTTTTCCCTTAGAATTTACAGTGTTGCTGGTGTGGTTACCTCTTGTGAATAAATACGGAATGGAGTCTAAATTCTAAAAACATGCTTTAATCTTGATCGTTAGTGCTCACATGATTTCTGATTAGAAGACTCTCTATGGTGTCTGAATCCATGTTAATGCAGCGTGATGAGGTGATATGACCAAGATGTGGCAGGAAGAAGAGTGTTCACTGTCTACATTGATGGCAACCACACTCTTCCTTGTGCTGTAGTTTTCCGAACTCAATTAGGAAGAAACACAAGTAATAGACACATTTATAACCACACAGCGACCTGTCTTGTTTCCTTAAAAGAAAGACAAACAGAAGCAATGCAAGTCTTTTGTTTCAGGAAACTAACCACTCTGACACATGTGGAAATCCATCACCATGCTCCAAACCAGACAGAGTTCCAGTTGCACATGCAAATTTCCCTTTGTCTGGAATGGAGTCCACACTCTTTCCCTGGTGGGCTGCACTCTGCTTATCTAATTCCAGAAAAAAATTAGATTAAAATTTGCCTGAGTGTGTGTTTGGGGTACGGCTAAAGTGTATTATTTAAACCCACCGAGCTTGTCATTTCAAAAACTGTCCAAGCTTCCTCTTATTTGTCCAGCTAGGACCACCCTACATTTTGTGATGGTGCAGGTAACAACAGCCTGGTTGGCCTCAAAAAGAAAGGCTTCAGCTAATTGAATCATTCAGCATTCTTACATGCTAAGATTATTATTGGCTTGATTACTGTTTAATGTTACTTCTCATGATCAACTGTGGATATTGTCATTCAATAAAGTGATGGTGATCCAATCACGATCATAAATTCTTCTTCCCTAATCAGCTACATGAAGCAGGCTAACTGTGGTCAAATTGGTTTTGGTTCAGCTGGGTGTCTGACATACAGGAAACCCCATCATCATGCTTAAGAGAATCCAAACCAGACTGAGAGTTCCACACATGTATACTACCTATACATGCAAATTTCCCATAGTCTGGAATGGAGTGTGCACTCTCTCCCAGGAAGGACACACTCTGCTTATCTAATTCCGGAAAGTACAAGGTACAGATTGGCAAGCGCCAAGGCTTGGGGATCTCAGAGTTTGAATACTGCTGGATCTAACCAGTTAAAACTGCATAGTTTGCCATCGAGAGCATCATCTGGTAAACTGCCCATCTCTTGATAAGTTAGGACCTCCCTGTCAGGGCTTTGTCTTGGAGGATTAACAGGAGCTAAATGGGAAGAATCCCTGACCCTGGTTTGCTCCTTTAAGTCCTGCTGATGGGCCAGTCTAGCTGGTACATCAACAGCAGTGCCCTGGAGTACGACCCATCTAGCTCAGAAACTGGTCTACCAAGACCATCACAGAGGGTTGACTTGATTGCAGCATTCCATCGCCAAAGAGACAAAACAATGTGAAGTCACTGCCACATCGACTGATTTGAACACATCACTATGTTCCCTACCTTGGACCCTTACTTTATTTTGCCAGAAAACATGTGCATCTTCTACTGGAAAAAATACCGCACGTCAGTTAATCAATGAATAGTCTTGGCTACTTAATTTCAGCAGTCAATTTTTTTTTATTCCCTCTTTATAAACTAACAATTATTAATATGTCAAATATACCATAAACCAATTCCTACAAAACTTGCAACATTGCTGGAGAAGTAATGAATACAATTTCCCTGGTAGAAATTATAACTTACATCAACCAAACTATCTGACCATGTAGGGTATTTATGTTGTAATACCACCAGTTACCACCCCTGTGCAAGCAAGAATTTGTCTTCAATATTTTGTTGTTGTGGGGGCAATGCTATTCTCAGAATACAATCTTCAGTGGTATCAATAACAACCACAAAATTACATTTGTAAAGCGCCTTTCACGTCTGGAAGACGTCCCAAGGTGCTGGACAGAATTATGGACCCGAGCTCGGGGTTGGGGAAGGTGGAGGGTGGGGGGGTGGGGGGAAGCAGGGAGATCGAAAGCATGGTCGAAGGGGAGGATCTTGAGATGGGTCTTGAAGGTGGTGAGGGAGTGGGCGAGGCGGAGGGACTGCGGGATGGAGTTCCAGAGGGTGGGGGCAGAGTGGCGGAAGGCCTGCCCGCCAATAGTGGGGCGAGCGAGGCGGGGAACGTGAAGCAGGCCAGAGCCCGCTGAGTGGAGGGAGCGAGCAGGTTGGTAGGGAGTTAGGAGGTTGGAGAGGTAGGGGGGAGCAAGACGGTGGAGGGGCTTTGAAGATGAGGACCAGGATCTTGAACTGTATCCTCTGTGTGATGGAAAGCCAGTGGAGTTGGGCGAGGATGGGGGTGATAGGGTCACGGAACCTGGTGCGGAAGAGGACACGGGCTGCAGAATTCTGGATGATCTGCAGCCTGTGGAGGGAGGAGTTGGGGAGGCCGACAAACAAGGAGTTTGAATAGTCGAGCCTCGATGTAATGAAGGCGTGTATGAGGGTTTCGGCGGCCTGCGCTGTGAGACAGTGTAGGAGCCGGGCGATGTTGCGGAGGTGGGGGAAGGCAGAGCGGGTCATGGCGCAGATGTGGGGTAGAAAGGATAGTTGAGGGTCAAACAAGACCCCAAGTTCTGGACTGGCTTAGCAAGGTGGAGTGTGCAACCACGGATGGTGATGCTGTCAGCGCCTGAGGTGAGGAGGAGAGCCTTGGTCTCAAAGACAGAGGTGGAAAATATGAATCTCTGAGGATTTACATAGGAACTTTGGATCTTTATAACAGTTTGGGGCAAGAAGAAGCTTCATATTGTTTTGTTTTATGAAGATGTATAGAAGCAACATCTAGAACTTGGATTACTAGTTTGTCTTGTTAATTAAATCCTAAAACCAGAATTTCCTCCATCAATTAGAAAAAAAGTAATAAATAAATTCTTTAATTTGTTCACCGCAATCCCTCCTTTTAGTCTAGTATTTAGATTATTGCATAACATGAGTCACTTCTGAAACGGTCAAAATCCAGGTTTATTTTAAAGATCGTAACATGGCATTTGATATCACTGCAAGGATGCCTTTGGCTCTGTTGAGAACATCTTTAGTACACTAACTGTTCAGACATTCTCTTCTGTCACCAGCATTTTATTGTCTGAATCTCCTGCCTTACAAATAAAAGACTAGCAAATTCTGAAATTACCAAAGTGCTTAAAAATGCACTCAGAACGTAATATTTCCATTATCCATGGTAAGCAACATATAGTAACTTGGTACTTGGATTGGCAGTTTGTCATATTATTAATTAAAATCGAAGATCAGATGTCCCCCTATAAATTAGAAAAAAATGTAATAAATAAATGATTTAACTTGTTCACCACATTCCCTTCTTTAGCCTAATATTTAGATTATTGCATAAAATGTGTAAAGAGGTGACAAACTCAGTTGGATTCTTCAAAGCGCTATAGGAGATTCTGTGCTCGGAAATCTACACAAACATTTGCTAAGACTGTTCTGCATAGCCCATGCTCTAACAGTTAAGGGAAATGTTTTTTTTAGTTTATCTCTAAGTTACAATCAGCTTTGATAAGAATAACTAAGAAACACCATTTCACACAGACTCCAATATACAGAAAAACGTTCAGCCTTGCACCAGATAAAATCAGTCCCAACGTATCTATGCAATTCTTCATATGATGCAAAATTGGTATCTTGATAAAGGAAAATTTATAAATGTACATATAGCATCATCAAATGTAGTTGTGGTGAACTTTATCTCAGTAAACTGGACAGTCCTCCTTTGACTTCCTCTTAGATGCCTTGTATACATCATTGGACTGTGCCATTGCTCAACTGTTGTTCTTGATTCAGTTTTTATTGCTGGAAGATCCAGATCGTTAGCTATATCCAGCACTGTGCAGTACTCGGGAATGGACAACATGGAATGGATCCATGCTTTGATTGGAGAACTCCAATTCCTGTTTTTCTTAAAACACTGGTCTTTTAGCTGTTGGGTTTTTTGGCTTGCGGCCTGTTTATCAGGTTCAAGTAAACGTCTGATTTCAGGAATCTGGGATAAGAGTCTTTCTCCATCAGATTGAAGATAATTTTTTGGGACCCATCAAAACAGGTGTTGGATGGCTGTAAAATACTTCTGCCAACCAACTCTCTTGTTTGAAAGTCGATGTTGACCTACAAATAGAAAATGATAGCAGTTGAGTACATAAATATAAACTCGTGTTGCAATTTTTGCAATGTTATTTCACTGCACAGTTCTGTTCTAGTCTGGAAATTAACTTAAAATAACCCCTGCCCCCAAAATTACTGCAATTTTGACTTAAAATAGATATCCTGAGGTTATTAGCAGCGCGAACAGTGCTGTACACCACCACCACTTGGTAAACAAACTGTACTTCTCAACCTCTAAATGTCTCTCATTGGCTGTGAACAACAGCGTTTCATCCAACGGTGACAGTCAACAGTTTAATTATTGCAATGTTGAGCTTTCAGAAGGCCGACAAATGAAGCCTTGTGGTGTGTAATATCACGAAGATTGACCGGTGAAGGATTTATTTTGCGCAGAAGTTACATTTATTTCATGTATTTTAAGACCAATTGCAGAAGGTGGAACGTTAGCAATTGGCGCAAGCACAGTGTAAACAATCTTCAGCATTGCTTTCCATCTTATGCTGTGTTTCATACTGAGCTCTCATCTGGATTGGATCAGTTCCAAGTCAGTTCACTCCTGAATGTGAATGACGAGTGGCACTGCAGATTTTCCCCTCTGGTGAAGTGACTCATTATAGGAGATGCTTGGCTCCACAGAGGCTCCAGTTGCCCCCCCCATGCTTTACTCAAGTGACTAGTTTTCATGTGTGAGTCTAGTGCGTGTCAGCAGACTAATAGAGCAAAGAGGAGTAAATGCTAGATTAGAAACTGATCCTGCTGTCACTCAACATCTAGACACAGACAAATTTCTGTTGATAATTTTTGTTTCTTTGCGCGCGTCAAATCGGATGTCAAATCGGATCTTAACTAAAAAGTACGCTCACCTGTTTTGGCGCTTCACTCTTGATGAATTCGGTGTAAATGTGTTTTGCCTTGGAAGCGAGTTTCTCAGGAGTCTTGGTTTTTCTGTAGTCCTCACAAACTAGCCAAAAGTCAATGTTTTCCTCACTGAACTCAGACTTGAGGAAACCCCTGAAGGCAGCAAGACCACCTAGAAGAAAATAAAATAACAGATGCATTACTTATTCTGTTAGTCACAGACAAGTGGATATTGACTTGTGAAAGCTGTACAGGGTGATAGACATTAAACGTGATAGAAGTAGATTTTACTTACGTGGATCAGTTAGTAACATTTCCAAGGACTTTGACCATTGTATTGCTTCGTCATGAGTAAGGCTGAGGGAAAAAATTGAAAGCTTTAGACACTTATTCTTAACGCAAATAATGTTCAACTTGTCTAAAACGGGCATTTAACCTGGAGGTTTATATTTGTTTTAATAGTGGAGAACACTGTATGCTTTTGTTGAACTGAGATATATTCTGAGATATTTGGCACCATTTCTCTATCTTTGATGCTAAGTCATTAATAATAAGAAATATTTTCACATATATAGAGCATATTGTGTAGGTCTCAAAGTGCTTTACAAAGTTTGAGTGGGAGCGTATACTGGAGGTAAGTAAGTGGGATGGGGTGGGGGAAGGTAGTCGAAAGTGCAGAATAAGTGATAGGTTTTAGGCAGGTTTTGAAAGCAGAGAGAAAGGGGATAAATTGGAGGGATTTCGAAAGACAGTGGGCGGAGGCAAAGTGGCTGAAAGATCGGCTGCTGATAGTGGAGCAGAGCTGGCAAGGGACCTGAAGGACAGCAGAATTGGGGAAATGGAGGGAGTGGGTGAGGGAATTAGGATTACAAAAGATCGCAGCGGTGGGGTCGGGGTAACCTATGAAAGCATTTGATGGTGAGGATGAGGATCTTATAGTTATTCTTGGATACAGAGACAGTCGAGTAGAGTGAGAATGGGGGCAATGAATAGGCTTTTAAAGCTGAGTGTGGTTCTCTTCTGTCTCTCTATTTTATATAGGATTTAACTTTAGCGAAGAAGAGCTAGGCGAGAAAATACTTACCCGATGGAAAAGTCCACTTTATTTGACATGCTGGGTTGATGTGCCACTGACTCTTGCTGAGAGCCAGAATTCACCAACATAGAAAAGAGTCGAGTCTTCAGGTCCTTGGCTCTATGGAAAGAAAGACCAAAATAAATCCTCAGCATTACTCTAGGGCACGTCCCAGAATTAGAGAAAAATAAGATTAAATAACAATAAGAGTGATAACAACTTTCCTTTTTGTTCAGAAGTAACGTTAATTTTAAAATAATTTAAATACAACTAAATACCAGTAGCATCAATGTTAGTCAGACAAAATCAATAGTTAGAAGTACGAAGCTTATGAACAAAACGTGGTGTTAGAGGACGGATACTCATTTCTGCAGACCTGGTGCTGAACCCAGCCGAGATATTCAAAGACTAATGTCAGTGCAGGTTGCCTCACAGATAAAGCCTCTTCGTTAAAGAGCTTTCAAGCTGTGATGACGTCTAATCTTTGTGTCATTGTCTTCAAGTAATTTGCATTCACTTTCCATCTCGGACCTCTGAGTTCCAAAACTCAAAGGGTACTATTTGCATGCTCTGGGACTAGCACAATGAACAACAGAATATTTTTGGAAGAGCACAACTTTAATTTACATTCATCCCTATCTGGCTCAGCTGCCAGTTGTCTTTGTACCATTAGCAAATATGAGAAATATTTAGCCCCAGAAAAAAAAATTGCATCTGGAGACAGGAATTAATAAATTTCTAATACATTTTTAATAAATTTGTGGCTGAAAATTCCTTACTCTGCTTATTTTTTAAAAATGAGCCAACTGTGCGTGTTAACGTAACAATTTGAAAGTAATGCTAATCATATTGCATAATGTCACTGGTAGCAGTTTATTAACCCTGTAATGCAATAGCTAAGATGATAGAATGCTTACATGTTCTTTGGTTTCTTTTTCTCTGCCGCATTATCTCCATTAATTGCACTGTTGCTGTTACCCTCTTTCAGTCCGATTGATGGTGTCTGAGGGAACATGATTTCAGGCATGCTTGACTCCTTAGCGTGTCTTGAGAAGTTCTGGAATTGAAGCTTCACTCACTGTTCTGTTTGCGTATGCTTTACCTTACTGCCACAACATTCTCTTATAGAGGCAGAGGTTTGGGGGTGGGGGAAGTAATGTTGTACATAGCTTGTGTTTCGTACCACAAAAAGGAAGTTAATTTTTTTTTTAGCGCTCTCTTGACGTGCAGGGATGAAAGAGCAGAAATGTCATACGCGCGTATGAACTGTGCTCTGGTTTTGAATGTAAATAAATTTCACGTCTTGAGATCATGCAAAACAAGTTCTTTGCAAATCTCCAAATAAACATACAGTTTGTGGTCAGCATATTGTCAGTTCTCCATGTGCATTGATGTATTTTGCTACGGCATATGAAATGAATGCTTACGAGGTTTGGTACAGGAGCTACATGTGACTGCATGGGTTGTGATGGCAGGTGTCCCAAGGCAGTGACTTGGGACATCCTCCTGACGTGAAAGGTGCTATACAAATGCCATTTTGTATTGTATTATGAAGCCGGACGAAAATACATTGTACTCAATCATTTAAAATTAGTATCAGATCATTCTATTGCAGGACGAATCCTAAACCGGTTTTGAATATGTTTTGGTCTAGCAAGTGATACTATATGTACAGCCAATGATCTCTTTCATTAAGAAAATTGGTCAGGTAGACCAAACCTACCCAGGATAATAAAGTATTAAGATGATGTGATTTGCCCTGTCCCCCATGCTCACCCCCATCCAGTATAATAATAATCCTTGCATTTGATAGAGCGCCTTATCACGTCTTTGAGACATCTCAAAGCGCTTCACAGCATATACTGTAAAGTGTTGTGATTGTGTATTTTGTGGGCGAAACCTCCTCCAAATGGTGACTAAGTGTAAGACCATCATACACCATACTCCAGTGTCACAATTTTTTAACGTCCACCTGAGCACTGGCAGACAGGATCTTAAATAGCTTTTTCTGTTTCATTTGCACCTGCATATATCTTGTTAAGATCCTCACAAGGAAGATAGTAATAATAATAATAATAATAATCCTTGCATTTGATATAGCGCTTTTCACGTTGGGAGGATGTCCCAAAGCGCTTCACAGAACACACTGTAAAGTGAATTGACTGTATATTTGTGGGCGAACGCGGCAGCCAATTGCTCACAGCAATGTCCCACAAACAGTCGTAGATTGAAAATGACCAATTTATTATTGTTTTTTTTTTTTTTGGAGGGATTATTATTAGGCGTGTGGAGTAAGGAAACTTGCCCAAGGTTTCGCCCTCTGCCTGGAATTGAACTCAGGTCTCTCACTTGCAAAGCGAGTGCTCTAACCACTGAGCTACAGGACTCCACAGGACTGCACTGTCATAAGATGTGACTTATGACAGTGCAGTGGTCCCCCAGTATTGCACTGGTGTGCGTGCCAATCTGAATTGTAAATTCAATTTTTCTGACTTGCGACTTGGATATACAACCTGCCGATCCAAAGGCCAGAGTGCTGATGACTGAGACAAGTTAATATTGTACCTCTGTGAAGAAATGCTGTCTGGTACCTCCTAAAATTGCCTGTCTCCTCCCCCAAACCCATGTTTTCTTGTCCTGCTGCCTTGGTGTATATGAAAGCATTTCTCTGAGTTTACTCTGTGTCATTTATAATTTTACATATCTTGTTAATATTCCCCTCTGAGGTATTTCATGAAAGCCCCGGCTTATTCAATTGTTTTTTTTTGCACCTCATCCCAATATTATACTGGACCAGATTATTCCCCCTCCCACCTACTGCCCAGTGGAATAACAAGAGGTAGTACTCCCACATTGTACTGCAACTCGTGTATTAGTTCCATGTGACAACTGTAGTCTAGTTCCCTTTCACATTATCATACAGCAAAGTCTTGTGGAGTAGACGCGCCAAATCAAGTGACAAATCCGAAACTTCTGGTAATGCAGATACTCCACTGGTTACGTTGTGGGTGGGGTTTCCTCAAGGGAGGAACTCAATGCATTTTTAGACTGTTTTCGCTTGAAAACAAATGCGATGATGGCCAAAGAGTTGTTAACCACTGTATCAAATGCCAGGATTGCAGGATTAGTGTGTAAAGTACAGCAGGGGACCCACATATCTTTTCCAAAGTGTATTTGAGGAATGATTTGGATGGTGGTGGGAGATGTGTTTAATAAATCAGTACCAGACACATTAACCTCTATTTCACCTCACCCTTTCCAACACCCCTCCCCCCATCATAGAAAAAGCACCAACTCTCTTTGGATGACATTGGTATTACTGTACAGTTAAATATAACTTCTTGACAATATGTATTGTATTCCATCAAATGTTCCATGGAACATTTGACTGTTTTATGTGATGCTCTGTTACTCATGTGATATCGATATTGGAGAACTGAGGACCTATCTATCTTGACAAAGCCGTTTTAGTAAAGATATATTTAGTTGTTTTTCGGAATTACACACACAGATACACACTCATACACAAACACACAGCCAAAGCTTTTAGTCAATCTTATTAGAGTTTGGATTTCAAAAATGACAACAACAAATTACATTTGTATAGTGCCTTTCACGTTGGGAGGATGTCCCAACTTCAACAACAACAACATTTCACTTCAACAACCGCAACTTGCATTTATATAGTGCCCTTCCCTTGGGGAGGGGTCTTGGAGGGCAACACAATTGAACTGTGGGTGTTTCTGAGTTGTATACTTCAAGAAGCTCCAGTACAATGTCTGATCGGTGCTGAGTGAGGTGATCCCATATTTTTTTAAAAAGTAAGGAAAAATTGAAGCATGATTGAATCAATTGGTGGAAATAAAGTGGATGACAGACAAGCCAAAGTGACCTTTTGTGTAAAGTAGATCATTAGTGGTAAGACGTCTCAACGAGATGCTATCTGGGGTGACATTCAGTTCAAATAGCTTTCATTTTCCCTTCATTGAGTGTCTTACAGTATTTTCTATGTAATGATGCCCACATTGGAAGCTTCAGTGAAGTCCCATTTGTTTGCTACAGCTGCACTCACTATTATCAGGAATTTCTTGCTATCTCAGAGACAGTTGATTTAGAGTCACTAACTAAGTGTTTGATGACATGGAAAGTTTAAGTTTAGTTACAGTAAATGGACAAGTTGATTTAAGAAATGACTGCATTTGCAGCTTAGTTCAAAGGCTCTCTTATCTATGGAACATGCTGCATTTCATCAAGTTGCAGTTGTGAGACTGAGTACATTACTAGCGTTTACACAATCCTTTTCATAAGGCTTGAAGCCCTGCGACTGCTTCCTGAACTACAGTTGAACTCGGACTCCATTCTCTGCTTCTTCAGGATGAATGCTCACACAAAAAAACAATCTATCCTCCAGTTGCCTCAGTGCATTTGTAGCACTGGCTTGGATGCATTTAAGATTCGTAATTAGCAAAAGGTACTCACATTGCAGGTGGAATGGAGAAGGACAGATGTTCTTTTGAATGTTCTTAGGCAATTTGCACATTTAAGTCTCTACCTCCTTCACCTCCTGGCTGTTTGTGAGACATTAGTGGGCGAATATTGGGCTGCTGAGTTTGCCTACAACCACACTGTCACTACATTTAACAGTAATTGCCATGAAGCCCTCTGAGATGTTTCAATGTGTATTACTAAAATCAACTGCAAGTATTGTTATAACTTGTACTAAAATTATTATAATCACCAGAATTATACAATGGCTCCAGTTGGTTCTTGATGCAAAAAGAGAAGTTAAAATCAAGAATCAGATCACTGCTCTCTTCTCTTTGTATAAAGACATTAAATGTGTCCTGCTAAACACTTTGCCACATCAGAGGTACTCAGGCCTCCATTGTACAATTGGCTGTGTAAGATGTTGATGTGGAGAGAAATGAATCTGAGTTGATTATTTTTACACCATGGGAAATGATCCATTAAATACATTGATTTCAGTGCAATCACCAGTGGTGCTAGCTCCCCTGGAGCTGTCTACTCTAATCCTATTTCCCTGCTCTTTCCCCCCGCAAATTGTATATGAAACCCTGGTCCTTGGAGGCAGTGAAGGTGAATGAATGCACAAGCCAAGCTTTCACCCACAAAGTATACAGTCAATTCACTTCATAGTATATTCTGTGTAATACTTTGAGACGTTTCGAAGACGTGATAAGGCGCTAGATCAAATGCAAGGATTATTTATATTATGAAATGTTTTCGCCTGATGTTTATTTTTGGAAGTATGTTTATGTCGCTGACTACATTGCTACTGAATGGTTGGAATTCTACCCCATTTGGATAAAGCTTTGCCCTCTCGGAATGGCTGTTGAAAGGCACAAGAAAGCAGCCAGACAAATTCCAATCTTCCTCTTTTCAATCAGTGCCCACCCAACCTGGCACTCTGAAGGTACCTATTGACTATGCAATGTATCTCTATACCTGTATCCTGTTACCTTGGGCACAGCACATTCAGTACAACACCCTTTGAATGATTTGTTAAAACCAAGGCCCAGTTTCTTCCAGTTCAGCCAGACATTAAAAATCCAATGGGACTACTGGAAAAGAAAAGGGAGTTTCTCCCAGGATCCTGGCAAACAATCCCAGATGTGGAATTCCTTCCTCCAAACCTTCCTCCAAAGCGGGAATGTAATTTTTTTTTGTCCTCTGGCTTGCACACTAATTTTTTTTGGAAATCAACAGTGACCCATATTTGTTAAAACATCTAGAGAGCCTGAAGAGCATTAAATTGACAATAAATTCAACAGTTTACTTATGATTTAGAGAGAGAACTTTAAGGTTTTTCAGTGTGCTGCAGTGTAAGGATTTCATTCCAATTCTTTCAGTTTTCTCGTCCAGTGATCATTGCTGTACACAAATTAACTGCCGAGTTCACCCACAGGCAGTGATATCAATGGCAAGCTATGCGATTTTAGCCGGTTAGACTCCAGCAGTACTCCAACACACACTTTGGGGTCCCCAAGCCTTGGCTCTTGCCAACCTGTGCCTAATACTTTCCAGAATTAGGTAAGCAGAATGCGTCCCTCGAGGAGAGAGAGTACATTCTATTCTAACAATCTATCTCTGTAATTTCTATGTGTAGGTGGAAATCTCAGT